GGGCTCGGGAAGCTGCGTGAAGAAGGTGCCGCCGGCCTGCACCCCGGCCATGGTGAGAGTTGTCTGGGTAAAGGCCTGGGGGAGGAGGGCGCTCAGACCGCGGGAGCACAGAGCAGGGCCCAGGGCTGAGCAGCGGGGTGGGGGGTGCATGTGTGGCCAGGCGCCCGGCGAGGAGGCAGCTACAGCCATGACTACCGTAAGTCCGGCCAAGCAGGCCCCTCGCTCAGGCCTCGTGCATTGGGATGTCTTCTGCCACATTTTCTCTTCTTTTTAAATATATTTTATCGATTTCAGAGCCTGAAACCCAGGCCTGCGCCCTGACCAGGAATTGAACCTGTGACCTCCTGGTTCATCGGTCAACGCTCACCCACTGAGCCCCGCCCACCGGGCCCTCCAAGTTTCCCCAGTCACCCTCCTGTGAGCTGCAGAACCCCCAGAGGGTGCCCCAAGCCTGGAGCCTGGGAGCAGGGCCACCGCATCCCTGTGGCCGTAGAAACTGACGGAGAGGGCGGGGTTCCTTCAAGACAGAGAGCCACACGCCTGGCGAGGGCCGTGGCCAAGGCCGGATGCACTGAGACCTGCTGGCCACGGTAACCCCCTCCTCCTCCTCCTCCCCCTCCCCCTCCTCCTCCCCCTCCTGGCAGCACAGGATCCCGCCACAAGCAGGTGAGTCATGAACGACGCTCCGCACGAGGTAGTGAGTCCGGATCTGTCGCCAAGGGATGGATGTGCTTCTCCTACGTGAGAGCCAACAGCTCACATTTCATTCGAGAGAGAGCGGAACCGGAGCGAGACAAGAGCACAGAGAGAGTTCACCTGGCAACGGCTCCTGTGTCGTCCCCCGCCCGCCAGGCGGCTGCCCGAGCCCCTGCCCGGCGTTTGGAGGGAGGTGTGCCGTGTGCCCTTTCTGTGTTTTCTTCACAACCGGGCTGCCTGGCCGGGGAGTCTCATGTTCGCCCTATTTTTAGCCGTGTCACCGTCTACCCATGCTGAGGCCTCGGGCCTTGGGGTTAAAAATAACCGCCCAAGGTGAAATGAAACCGACCTCAGGGTGGCAGAGGGAACTGGAGTCAGGAGCAGGCCGTCGCTGTGAGAACCGAGGGTTGTAACTCCCCGGGGGGTGAATGCCAGGCCCTTCCGCTGCCCCGGGACCCGGAGCCAGGCTGTCTTTCCGCTCGGCCTTCCGCTGCCCCGGGACCCAGAGCCAGGCTGTCTTTCCGCTCGCTGACCTTCGGCGCTGGCACAAGGCCTGCTTCAGCGCACGCTTCACTATCTCAGCGCCGATCACACTGGGGGCGGGTTCCTGGGGCTCTCGCTGTGATTACATGACGGTACGATCGTAAGATAGACGCCCGCGGACGATGGGCAGGAAGTCCCAGCTCCCCGCACTGCTTTCTTTCAGAAACCACATAGTGACATGAAAGTAGCGTTTGGAGGGAACAGCCGTAATCGCAGCATCTTCATACCCACATGCTTTTCACCCTGACGCGTGCCTTCCAGGCTGCGGCCGCATGCGAACGTGTCCGCGTGGGGCAGCCGTGTCATACGGAGAACGCTGCCGCCTGCTCCCCATTGCTCATATCAGAAGCTGTTTTATGTTCATCCACGTCCAGATGATCCTCTTTAAAAGGCTGCGTGTGGAGGAGGAGCTGGGAGTTTTTAGACCTGCTCTTGTGGTTGGATACTTTCAATAAGTTTTATTGGTTTTTAGAGAGAGAAGAAGGGAGACAGAGAGAGAAACATCAATGAGGAGAGAGAATCACGGATCGGCTGCCTCCTGCACGCCCCTGACTGGGGATGGAGCCCGCACCCGGGCCTGTGCCCTGACCGGGGATCCAACCGTGACCTCCTGGTTCCTAGATGGACGCTCACCCCCTGAGACGCCCTGGCCGGGCGTGGTCGATACTTTAGCTGATGCAGCTTCTGCTCTGTTGGTTGAGAGCCGCCGGCGGCGTTTTCTCCCTGGGAAGCAGATTGCTTCCTGCGCAGTCGCACACGGGGCAGCCAACAGCTCCATCTTCACCAGCATGGAGCACCAGCGCTTTTATGGATTTTGATAACATGGTGCAAAACATCCCCTAAGAAATGAAGCCAGGAATTGAGCAGTTCTATTAATATACCAGGCACGTGGGCTCGACCTGCTGCCTGGGGGAGCCTGGATTCTGTCCCCGGGTGTCAACTACGAATATTCTTACTGAGTCATTGGAAATCCCCGGTCCCGATGGAGTTCCTCCCACCTCCACCTTCACCCACGTACGGGGGCGGCCGCGTCTCTGGCTGCTGTGCTGGGTGTGGTTTGTCGGGCAGCACACAAAACAGCCTCCGTGAGTACAGCCCGGCTCCTTCGTGTTTACAGCGCTGTCACCGACCACAGAAAAGGCGACCGAGGCTACGAAGGCAGGTTCCTCACGCGAGGTCACAGTGATGTGGCTAAGCCAGGGCTGGAATCCACGGCTGTCTCCCAGCGGGACAGAGTCCCCCACCTGAGGGAGCTCTCCGGAGCCAGCCCTCTCGGCCAGCAGAGGCTGCGGACAGACTCTCGGGCCGTGAGCGCGCTTTCGGCGACGAGCTTGGCGGGTGGGGAGCTTCCCAGCGTCCATCCCAGACGGTGCGATTGCATCAGACACGAGACTCTGAGCCCTGGGGGTTTGGCGCAGTGGACAGAGCGTCGGCCTGCGGACCAAAGGGTCCCCGGTTCTGTTCTGGTTGAGGGCACGTCACATCTTCACCTCGGGATGCGGGCTCGATCCCCAGTGTGGGGCCTGCAGGAGACAGTCGAGCCATGATTCTCGCTCATCACTGATGCTTCTGTCTCTGCCTCTTCCATCCTCCCTGAAGTCAATACAAATATTCTCTTAAAATGAGACTCTCAACGCGGCCTGGGCTCTGTCGTCACCGCTGCTCAGGAAACACACGGATCACGTCTGCTGGCTGATCTCACGCAGACTCAAGAACCACCGGGCGCCTCCAGAAACGCGTCCACCGTGAGGAGCTGCTGGACAGACGCCGTGGCCGCTGGTTAATTGGCAGCTGATCTTTGAGGACTTTCCCTTCGGAGTCAAACGTGTCTTCCCGTTCTGTCTTGTTGCTGCTTCATGAGAACGTGCTTGCTACAGGACTCGGGGGGTCGAGCGCAGCCAGGTTGAGCTGTGAACACGTGTGGTCACGTGACAGCGGATGGGGGTGTGAGGTCCTGTCCCGGGGCCGGCGCGCACATGGCCTTCTCCCTTCTGGGTGCTGGGGGGAGTCGACGTCTCCGGGTAGTTTCCTAGCGTGGTGATGGGAATAAATGGAATATTCCACCCGGCCCCGGTGGCTCCGTGGCTGAGCGTCCACGTAGGAACCAGGAGGTCACGGCTCGATTCCCGGTCAGGGCACAGGCCCGGAGTGTGGGCTCGATGCCCAGTGTAGGGCGTGCAGGAGGCGGCCGGTCCATGATTCTCTCTCATCATGGATGTTTCTCTCTCTCTCCCTCTCCCTTCCTCTCTGACATCAATAAACATACATTTTTAAAAGATGGAAACTCCAGCAAAAGCATCCGGTGGCGTTGCTCGTGGCGACGACAGGCCCCGCGGGCGGCAGTCTGTGGGGAGCGGCCTTTCCGGGGACAGTGGCGTGAGGGGTGGCTGCCCCTTTCCCTCACTGAGTGCTCCTGTCCTTGCGATTCTTGTCCCTCGTGCCCTCTGCAGCCCGGGCTCTGCGGCTGAAACCACGCGCGTGGA